ACTCACCTATCAGGCACTGTGCCAGGTCAGTCCATTTATGAGCCCCATCATACAGGTGAGAAAACAGAGGCAGGAAGAATGAAATAACACATAGGTATGGAGTTTCAGTTTGGGAAGACAAAAGTCTTCTGGAGAGGGATGGTGGTGAGTTGCACAACAATGTGAGTGTACTTAATGCCACTGAACTTCACACTTAAAATGTTAAAATGTTAAATTTGATGTTATGGACATTTACCACCACCACAACAAAAACCTATAAAGAACTAGGTAGCAAAGCTCTCAGGTGGAGAAGCCAGGAGTTACACACACAAGGTCCCGCCCCAAAGTCTTGCTCTGGAGCACCCACTATTTCATCTCACTTAGTGAAGACACTAAACTGGCGGGGAAGGCAGACAGAGAGACAAAAGCACCCAATACCAGGCTGAGAAAGATGGGTTTATCCTAAGGGCTGGGGCAGGGCACAGGGATAGCGTTGTAATCAGGGAGGAAGGGCATGGTCAGATTTAAGGGTGGGAAAGTTTCTTTTGGTTCCCAGGAAGATGGGATGGAGGGTGAGACGGGAGGTGGGGAGGAGGTGGGGCACAGCCTGGCTGGAGCTGCCGGAGGGGAGACCAGGGCGGGGACAGCAGCGGGGAAGAAGTGGATCTGTTTGAGGGGCTGTGTGGAGGGGAGGGAGTGGAAGGAGCAGGCAGTGACTGCCCTTACGGAGCTTCTTCCAGCCTGCGCATTATAGCACCTTCTGTCAGTATAGTCCTTCCAGCCTCCTTTCTCTGTTTTTCATCTTGCAGGAAAAGCCTGGGGCACAGACCTCTCCTCTGACCCCCAGGGGGCAGCGTTGCAAAGTCTTTGGGAAGTTGCGGCTCCTCCTCCCGAGTACCTGCAGCCAGGGGCAAATGCTGGCTTCCCGTCTCCTCTTCCAGCCTTCCCAGCATCCCCTCCCCATGCCTTCTCTCCCAGGAGCCTAATTAATAGTAAGTAACTGTAATCCCTCATGTCCTGCCCTTGACACTTTACAAAGCAGTGGTACTTCCATTATCTCCCACGTTCTTCTCAAAAGGCAGGGATGGAGCAGAATGAGACCTTTCCTTTTAATCCCCCACCACCGTTTTATAATAAGGAAACTAAGGACCAGGCAGGAAATGGAACCTGACCAATGCCAGGGTGTTGGTGGCAGAGCCGGGGCTGGGGGCCACGGGCTAGCCCATGCCCAGTCAGGACCCGGTGAGAGGGCCTAACCCTGTAGCGCCCACAGAACAACAGCCACTAACAGTGGCCTGCTAACACCCCACCTGCCTGCTGAACCTCAGTCTTGCCCTTGAGCTCCCTCCCTCTTCATGGGGCCTGTCCCTGTGATTTATTCCCATGGAGTTGTCAGTTAGATCAGACCAACCTGGCACACACCTGATTTACTTCTCTCTCATGCTCTGCTTCTAGAATTACAAGTCATCACCATTATCATCATCACCATATTAATAACGGGTTGTATCTGCTCAGCTCTCAGAACTTAGCAAGGACTAATCCATCCATCAGCTCATCAGAGCCTTATGACAGCGCTAGGAAGGCATTTCACAGACAAGAGCACTGAGGATCAGAAAGGGTAAGCCCAGGCCTCCCAGCCAGGCCTCGGGGGCGTTTACAGTTGCCTGGAAGAGAGGAGCTGTGCACACGGCCAGCTGAAGACAGGGCGAGATGATGGGACTTAGTGCGGCTCTGCCAGGAGGTCTCCTGTCATCTCAGTTTTACAGGTGGGGAAACTGAGTCCCAGAGCTCTTCTTACTGTGTTAGGATTGCACTATCTGATGCACAAACTCATGCTCTTTCTGAGGCATAAGGAGCCCATTTTCAGGAAGGGGTGCAGAGATTCCAGCACAGTATGTGTTCTCTCTGGGTTGGGGTGAGAGGCTGGTGGCAAGTGGAGGCAGTTGGACCCAGGGCCAGGCTGCTGTTGGGGCCAAAGGGCTTCCTGAGGAGGAACCTCTGGGAGGGGTTTGAGCTGTAGAAGGAGCACGCGGCCTGAGCTGTGCAGGGCTGGGGTGCTGAGCCAAGGTGGTGGGGCTGAGGGGCCAGGCCAGACGCCTGTTGGCCCGCCAACCCGAGCTTCTGCTCACAGGGTTGGGAAATCTCCTGTGTTCTGATCCAAAAGGCATGCCAACAAAGAGGGGGAAAGTCCTGAAGTCTTGGCACGATGGGGTCTGTTTCTCACTCACCAGAGAGGAAACTGAAACCTAAGGAAATACAGGCACGACACACAGAGCAGAGCCTGCCTCTCTTCAGGCCTCAGTCTCCCAATCTAAAAAAAGGGATCTTTTTTTAAAAAAGGGAGTTTCAAGTTCCTTCCTGCTCTGACTTTCTGAATGTCATGTGTCATCCTTGGTCTCTTTAACTCAGATCCCAGTCTCTGCTGTACTTCTGACAGGTAGTCCCGGACAAGTCACATGCCCTCTATGATGGATTCCTCATGGGTGAAGTAACTATGACATTGCCTCAATGAGCCAAGCATGGGAGAACGTCTGTACAACTTGGGGTCTGAGCCCCAGGCAGCACTTGCGGTTGGGGAGGCTGAGGCTCTGAGCCTCTCGCTTGTCTGCCAGGATGAGGGCTCATTTATAGATATCCGCTCCCCGGCTGCCAGGCCAGGGGGAAGTGGGAGCAAAGGTGCTGAGGTGGCAGTCTGGAACCCTTCTCAGGAAGGAGCCTCTGGCCACTCTTCCTCCCCCGCCCCCAAACCCCTACCTCCCGGGCATCCTCACAGTGATCCTTATAACAGTCCAGAAGGTGGGTTGTTTGACGGCACAATGTCCATTAAACAGATAAGACTGAGACCCAGAGAGGACAAAGGACTTGCTCAAAGTCCCACTGCAAGGCAGTGACAGAGCTGGCACCAGAATTGAGGTCTCGTGTCTGGAGCCCAGGATTCTTCCCTTGTACCCAAACTTAGAGAGTTCTTTAAAATAAAGTCTCCTATTTTGCCTGGTGTGCAAAAAGGCATTTCCCTAAGTGGGTTCATGTGAAGAGGGGAAGGGCTTGAGCTTCGCAAACAAATAGCCTCAGGCTCGGCAGGAGGACACAGGACTGTGAGAACATCACGGGGCCCTGGAAGCTGCAAACTGCCACACTTTGCCAACAGCAACACATTAAAAAATGTCATCAAGTTTGCAAACTGGGGAGTACACAGATGGTATTGTGATCCACACACGTTGTGGGGCTCTGTGACGTGCACGAGGCTCAGCAAACACTATGCATGCTGGCACATGGCAAAGCTGGGGTGTAAACAGGTTGGTCAAACCTCAGCCTGGGCCAAAAACAGTGGCACCTCACTGCGGGATTAGCCCATGAGCCATCTAAAGGCCTGTTAGCTTTGCTCCCAGAGGCTCATGGGTACCCGATCCTTGCTCCAAATCCACAAGTGAGTTCAGGAATATTCTTGGACCAGCTGTGTCAGCCTGGGGAGGCTGAGGTGATAAATGAAGATAGTTCCTTTATTTTCCATGCCCTGCAGGGCGCTGTGCATCGAGGAGATGAACTTCGCAGGGCAAGCCAGTCTTGGCACATACCCAGACCAATACATGTGCATTGTTTCTTCATCCCCCAGGGCCAAGGTAGGGGCAACAGGACTTCCAGAAGTTTAAAAGGGAACTTCCCTCTTTCAACTGTTCACCTTCAATGTGGAATCAGGAAGGTCGTATCTCCGCCAGTCTCAGTGTGGACTCGCCGTGCTGACTTTGGTCTGAAAGATTTAAAGACATACCCAATTTGGTTTCCTCAGGGAGGGACAGGGTCTGGTCCTCCTATCAATCCAACTATTGCCCTTTTGCAGTGCAGTGGTCATGTGCTCACATTTCTGGTTTCCCAGTCTCATTCACACAAGTATCTATTGAGTGCCTACTGTGTGCCAGGCCAATCTGTGATTATTTCAAATACTCCTACTTCCTCCTAACATTCTCATACGGCCACAAAGAGCCAAGTGGCACTGATGATATTTCTTAATCATTGCACCCCAAAAGCTGGTCTCTAAACCCACATCCTTGTTTCATACAAAGACTTTATTCCTGGAACTGAGTCAGGTTCACTTACTAGCTTGGTGACCGGTGGACAGATCCGGGGACTCGGTGCCTCATCTATAACATGAGGGAATAAACTCCTGGCCAACAGTTCAATAGGAGGGTCCGTGGGGCTGCAAGTGTGGGTGTGCTGAGGAGGCAGGAATAGGCAGTGTGGGTTTGCTTCCCCTCTTGCCGCCTTGTTCTGAATTCCCTCTGCCGCTCCCTTCTCTGAGCTCCAGGCATTCAGACTTGGCTTATTTCTTGTTCACCAAACTTTCACGGCAGCCCTGAAAGTGAGGAATATTGTCCCTTCTTTACAGATGAGGGAACTGATGCTCAGAGAGTTGCAGAGACTTGCCTGAGGCCACTCAACCAGCAAATGACAGGGCTGAGATGGGACCCAGGTCTGTCTGGCTCCAAGGCCTCCATCCTTAGCTTCAGTCCAGGAAACTCTGGAGATTTCATATTTGCCCTTCTGCTCCACCCCTCCCGCCCCCCACCATTCCGCCCCATCTAGATGGCCACGCTTTAGGGAACTGCTACTGTGAGTCCCTACCTGGCGGGCTGGCAACTGTAACTCCTAGTAGACAGAATCTCTCCTTGCTCTAAATCTTTGGAGCTCAGAGAGGAGATGGGGGTTCAGTGAGAGGGAACCAGAGCTGGAGGAGGACAGGGTTCAGTGAAGGAGGACAGTAGGGCGACAGGGACTCTCTATGGGATTCTTGGGTAGTAATATAAGTTCAGTGAGGGAGACAAGAGCTTGGTGGATCTGGGCTCAGAGAAGAAAGGGGAACACAGTGAAGAGAGAAGAATCAGGACTGAATGACCCCAGGGCTTGGAGACATTCCCTTTAGCCCCACCTCTTCACTGCTAATTGAGGAGAACATCCTAGGGAAGTGTAAGGCCAGAGACTGGGAAGGAACTGGCCAGGGGGAGGTGAGGCAGCAGCCTCCTCCCATCAGCAGGGCTGGATCTATACAAACCCAGCCTCCTACACAACTGACTCTGAGTTGCTCCAGGCAGGGATTAGAGGAATTGAGAGAGAGAGACAGAAAGAGAGACAGAGATTTTGAGTTAGTAAACCAGGGCACAGATAGGGGACTAGGGCAGAGAAAGACAGAAGAAACAAATGATCAAGGTAGACAGGCACTTGGAGAGTGGGGGCAAGTTTGAACGAGACTTCCTAACACATACCTAGAAAAGCTGCTGTGTAGTGTGAAGAAACTTCAGCCCAGTACCTGGAGTCCTCTGGTGAGCGCATCCCCGCTGTGGCTTGAGTCTGCTGTCTCTGGGAATCCCTGATAAGGGCTCATTCCCTCTTTCTCCTAAACTCCGGTCCTGGGATTAAAATAGGGGTTGGAACTCTCTGCACTGCAGCAGTCATGGGACCCAGGATAGGTAAGTCTGGACAAAGTAAGTAGGGTCACTGGGAGGGAGTCTGGAGGCCACATTCTCAATGTGGAGTGTATGGTGTGTGGGCTGGGGGGGTCGGTGAGGTGAGGGTTTGCGGTTTCTTGCACAGAACGAGGAACATGGCTAGACCTAGTGTGTCAAAATAAATGAGTGAATTGCCAGAGGGGCAGGAAGGGATGCTGTTTACTCAGCTGGAGGCAGGGAACTCATCCAAACCTCCCTGAGGAGACCAAGACCCGGAGTGAGACCAGGAGCTATGAACAAGGCAATGAAAAGGCAGCCCCACTGAGCACTTTGCTGAACCCCGTTTCCCCTCTCTGAAGCAGACAAAGGTAGAGACAAACACAGCAGAGAAAAACAGAGAGAGGGAGAAGTGTAGTCAGAGATGGAGCAAGTCCAGAGATATGCACAGTCAGACCAAGGCCAAGACAGGAGGACAGAGACAGAGGGAAAAGAGGTAGATCAGCAGGTGTTTGCCGGAACAGGCAGAGACCAGCCCCTGGAGAGAGGGCTGCGGAAGAGACCAGGGGAAATAAAGGGAAGCCTAGACAGTGAGGAGAGAGAACCAGAAAGAGACAGATATGAAACCAGAGGCAACCAAGTCCGGGGCTGGTGCTGCCTGTCACTTCTCAGCCAAAAAGCAGAGGCAGGGATTGGATTATAACTGTGCTTTTATTAATATCAGAGGCCAGCAATCTGAGAAGGTGGAGAGTAACAGCCCTAACATCCACCTTCCCTTGAGCTTTCAGAAGCAAGTTTCTATAGGGGGAACCTGAGAATGCGGGAGGGGGCGGTTCCTAGGGGGGAGCGCAGACAGGCTGTTTCTCTTGCGAGTGAGGGGAGGGGCCGCTGAAAGGGGAGTCATGCAGCCTCTTCCCAAACTCTTCCCTTTGCTCTGGTGGTATCTCTCCATTTGCCTTAGCACTTCTCTCTTCCCAGGCACCTGTGGTTTATGGCCAGCAAAGCTCTGTATTCTCCCATTAGGGAGGGGAGCTATAAACCATTTGCTCTCAAGTGTCCTTGGTTAAGGGAGATAAGGTCTTGCTATTCACCAGCTGCCTGTAAGTTACTTAAACTGTTGGGCCTCATTTAATTTTCTTGTGTCCATTTCCCTATTCCACTTGCCCAGGAATGTTCCTAGCTTCTTCCTATCCCGTCTTATTCCCTGCTCAGAAACTTCTATCCCTAAAATATTTTAGGGGTGTTGAGGGAGGAGATTCTCTCTTTTTTTAGATTACTTATTTATTTATTTTTAGAGAGAGGGAAAGAGAGGGGAGAAACATCGATGTGTGAGAGAAACATTGATCGGTTGCCTCTTACACACCCCTAACCAGACACCTGATACGAAACCCAGGTGTGGACCCTGACTGGGAGTCAAACTGGAGATCTCTTGGTTTGCAGGACGACACCCAACCCACTGAGCAACACCAGTCAGGGTGAGGGATGAGATTCTATTATCAGTATCTGCTTCCTGCTGATGAGGGTCATCGTCCCTGCCTGCATAGGGTACAAAAGTTCCTTCCAGCCTGATCTAAAGGAGACAAGGGAATGGAACCTGAAACTGGAACAGAGAGACTATGAGCTGATTCTTCCAAAGTAGGGACAGGCTAGATCCTCCAAAGCATCATCGTCTTGATATAGAATTGTTGTATCCAATTCAACCATCTAGTCCTGACGACAAGTCCATTCAGCCAAACTACTGAGTCTCATTTCAGGAGGTGGTGAGGCAGATGGGCTTCTAAAGTGAGGGCTGCACTGTGTAAACAAGCAACCATCTAAAGAAGGTTATTGTATACACTCTATGAAAACAGGAAGAATACAAATGTTAATGAACACAGCACATCATAAACTAGTTTCTCAGTCTGCAATGAGAAGGTCTTTCAAACGCAAGGATTTTGCTGGAATAAAATTAAGCAGTGACGATCCGATAGATCCTCTTTATCCGTAGTTTAAATGTCTCGAGTGATATCATCAGGTTCTCAGGTAAATTCTGTATGGTTGACACTTCATCAGTGGTTCTCAGTAATTCCCAATCAAAGGATGAAAGAAAAATGAAACATTAATTTGAAAGAAAACTAAAAAAAATTCAAGATCCAATTCAGTTTGTAGGTACAGAATAAAACTTTAACTAGAATCTAATATTTATAACTGTGTATTATAGATTTTATTGAATACAATGTTTCCCCCTAAATTATCCTTATATTAAAATTATATAAATTATATAAATTATCCTTCATTAAAGAGACAGCATTAAGTCTAATTTCGGTTTGACCTGATTGTTTGTATAAATGCAACAAGAATACCAATTGATCATACAGGCTTTCTTAAATCTGCTTTGCTGGAACCTTACAAGGAATTTTCAGACTGAACTTTAATTTGCCCCTCAGGGCAAAGAAGCCAAGCTAACAGTTGTCATCAGGCTTTATCCACACCGCCTACAGATCAGGGTGAGTTCCTCAAGTTCTCAAGGTCCCCAAAATGTTTTTGAAATTCTTTCCTTGACATCTTTCAGGAAAGTAACCTTCATTCCTTACCTGGAGAGACTGCCATGAACCTTCTGAATAAGCAAGGCACCAGGCCATTTCTCCAAGGGGCTTTTATTGGCTTCGAGGTCAATCTTTAGTCTTCAAAGTTTCTTGCTGACACCCAGAGTCCAGGCATGCTTCTTTTAATTATGACATTCCAGACAAAGACTTGGCAAATAAAACCACAGTTGGAAACTGGCTTTACCTGTCCTTTTATGAAGAAATCAGAATCCTACTGGATTTATGCAAACAGATCACCATGGAAATAATAATTCCATGATTCCATAATAATTCAATAATGAGAGTGGAAACTCTCATTAAGAGTTTCCAAATTCCATAGGGATCAGGTTGGGAGAAAAATGTAAATGTCTCAATATTGCCTATGAAAGTATAATTAACCAAATTGCTTTAAGGAAAAAATGTATTCTTATGTCTGAGAAACAAAAGATTAAAAATTAGCAATTTTTTTTAATAAACAGTTCTAAAAGCCACAATTATCTTCAGTTTGGTATGTTCCATAATTAATTTTTGTTTATCCTGATTATTTGTAAGTATTTCTATAAGTCCAGTTATTTCATAGAGCTCTAGTAATCTTCATTCAGTTCAAAGATATGATCTGAAAATTTATTATCAGAAATATGTAATTTAAAATGTCAGAGTCCTTTCTATGAACCTTTTCAAAGAAGTAATATATTTTTGCAAATACATTAGAGTAAAACAATGGCTATCTCCAAGTGACCAAAATACCCCTTAAAATGGCATGGTTACAGATTTGATTATAATGCAATTAACAAACAAATTTGCTTTCCCTGCAACAACATTTTAAGGTAACAACTAAAATTGCAAATGAAATATATCAGAACTGTGTAGAATCTTGGAGATTTTTATATCTCTATTATACCTACTTTAACAATAAAAATATGTGCATACAAATAGAACATACTTATTATTGCTTTATTTGACAAAGCTTCCCATGTACTTTAAGCATATTAAATAGGCCTACTTAGTTCAAAACTGCTTCTTAATAAGGAGAAAAAACAAATCCCCTAAGCATCCCTGGGACCCACTGAGGGCTGACCGGTCAGCTATAATGCGACCTGATGGACTCTGCTGGGATCGAGACCAAGCCACTCCTTTTCAAAACAGAAACAAAAAATAAATTCTAAAGCAGAAGAGAAAGTTTGAGTAAATGAATACTTATCTAAAAGGAGGGGCTGGGACTAGACTTGGAATCTTATGTCATACTACCTTTCACTTCAGACAGAGGAGAGAAGTGAAGGAGAGCTCTCAAACAGAAACTGACCTCTTCCCATGGAGGAACAGAGAAACAAAACCGACAGACAAGTAAAAAGCAGTACGTGCCAAGAAAAGCAAATAATACCCAAAAATCCATATACCAAAGTCAGAAGGGTCCAACCAAATCCCTCACTGGGGAACTGGGATTTTTCTTGTCACTAAGCCATGCCTACCCCACTGCTTAGCGGTGCCTATTGGTTCTCACTGAATCCCAGACAGTTCAAAGAGCCCAAGTGACAGGGCGGGGATCCTGCCGTGCACACCAGGGACTTACCCAGCTTGGAGTCCACAGACTCCCCAGAGAAACCAGATACTAGATATTTGTTACAGAAAGCCCAATGCGACAGTGGATTTATCAAGATTTGGTCCGTAGACCATCAGATGGCCAAGACCAGAACCCAGGTGGGCTTTCTGAGTGCAAATCCAATCTCTTACTGAAAGGTGAGGTGATGGGAAGCACTGGGGTCCTGGGACCAAAGATCCCCCTTGGCAAAGTCGCCAGGCAGCTACTGAACATCTTGGCTGGGAATCTGGGCTTCCATGTCCAGGCAGCCCCTGGGACCCCCCTGACCAGAGGGGACTGAAGCTGCCCCGGCAGGCTTGGCCAGGTGGCCCCCAGGCTGGGCACCCTGCAGCAAGCACCTCTGGCCTCCTCCTGCTGTCTGTCCTCTGCTGTGTTAGCCTCACACCCACTCGGCAAGGCCAGACTTGTTGCCCAGAGCGTGGTATCTAGGGCTGTGTGAGCCCCGCAGACTCACCAGAAAGTGAATTGAAGGGCAACAGAGTCCAGGGCTGGTGCTGCCTGTCACTGCTCAGCCAAAAAGCAGAGGCAGGGATTGGATTATAACTGTGCTTTTATTAATATCAGAGGCCAGCAATCTGAGAAGGTGGAGAGTAACAGCCCTAACATCCACCTTCCCTTGAGCTTTCAGAAGCAAGTTTCTATAGGGGGAACCTGAGAATGCGGGAGGGGGCGGTTCCTAGGGGGAGCGCAGACAGGCTGTTTCTCTTGCGAGTGAGGGGAGGGGCCGCTGAAAGGGGAGTCATGCAGCCTCTTCCCAAACTCTTCCCTTTGCTCTGGTGGTATCTCTCCATTTGCCTTAGCACTTTTCTCTTCCCAGGCACCTGTGGTTTATGGCCAGCAAAGCTCTGTATTCTCCCATT